GGAATTTGAGTCGAAAGAAACAGCCCTCTCATTTTATAAAAATTATGCCAAGATGCTAGGATTTGGTGTGTCTGTAAAATCAAGTCGTCGTTCGAAATTATCTTGTCAATTTATTGATGTGAAGTATGCTTGCACAAAATCTGGAATTAAACAAAAATCTGATGCTATTAACCCACGCCCTTGCTTGAAGGTAGATTGCAAAGCATTCTTTCATATTAAATTAGGACAATCTGGAAAGTGGTTTGTTTAGAATTTCATCAAGGATCACAATCATGGGCTTTTTCCAACACATTCTCATTATTTTCCTTGTCATAGAAGTATTGATTTAGTCCAAAAACAAAGCATCAGCACTTTGCATGCAATGGGAGTGAAAACAAGCAAAATATATGCTGCCATGGCCAAGCAACGTGATGGGTATGAAAATATTGGCTGTTTAGAGAGAGATATTCGGAATCAATTGGATAAAGAGCATCGTTTGGCACTAGAAGCAGGGGATGCAAAAGCTATGTTAGAATATTTTATTTATATGCAAGAAGAAAATCCTAACTTCTTTTATGCAATAGATTTGGATGAAGAACATCGACTTAGAAATGTTTTTTGGGTTGATGCAAAAGGTCGAGATGATTATCAAGATTTTGGAGATGTTGTTTCTTTTGATACAACTTACATTACAAATAAATACAAAATGCCTTTTGCCCCTTTTATTGGAGTTAACAATCATTTTCAGTCAACTTTGCTTGGATGTGCACTATTGGCAGATGAATCTTCAACAACCTTTACTTGGCTAATGAAGACATGGGTGAGAGCAATGGGAGGAAAGCCTCCAAATGCAATAATAACAGATCAAGATAAAGCAATGAAGGTAGCCATTGCATCGGTCTTCCATGATACACGACATCGGTATTGTTTATGGCACATATTAAGAAAAGTTCTTGAAAAGCTTGGTGCTATAATAAGAAACCATGAAGATTTTATGGGTTTTTTTAATAGATGCATTTACAGGTCTTGGACAAGGGAGAAATTTGAAGAAAGATGGCAAGAAATGATCAGAAGATTTGAACTTGTAGAGGATGAGTGGCTTCAAACCTTGTATGAAGAACGAGAGCATTGGGTACCTGTTTACATGAAGGATGCATTTTTTGGAGGCATGTCAACTACACAAAGATCTGAAAGTATCAACTCTTTTTTTGACAAGTATGTAGGCAAGAAGACTTCTTTGAAAGAGTTTGTTGAGCAATACAAGGTAGTTATCCAAGATCGAAAAGAGGCAGAAAAACAAGCTGATTTTAATTCATGGCAAAAGCAACCTAGTTTGAAGACACCTTCCCCTTTTGAGAAGCAAATGTCAATGATATATACTCATGAAGTCTTCAAGAAGTTTCAAGTTGAGATTTTAGGAATATCAGGGTGTTATTCTTCAAAAGATGGTGGAGATGGGCAAATTACAACTTTTAAAGTGTTAGATTTTGAGAGAAAAGAAGATTTCATTGTAGAGTGGAATGCATCAACAGAAGAAATTTCTTGCTTATGCCATTTGTTGAGTATAGTGGGTTTCTTTGTAGACATACAATGGCTACACTTCAAGGCTTGGGTGTGTTTAGCATTCCATCACACTACATATTGAGGAGGTGGACCAAGGATGTTAGAAATGAATATGATAAAAGTGGTGTGATGGAGGAAGTACAATGCAAGAAGCAACGCTATGACCAATTACTTCAACAAGCCAATCAATTGTTCGAGGAGGGATCACTTTGCTATGAAAGTTACAATTTTGTAAGTCATGCACTAGAAGAAACCTTGAAGCAATGTGTTAATATCAATCATTCCTTGCAAATTGGAGGAGTCAATGAGATTCAAGATGTCGGAAAAGAGAATGTTTGTCCCAATAAATTGCCCATGGTTCCAATATTTGACCCTAAAGTTTCAAAAACAAAAGGAGCTCCAAAAAGAATAAAGAGTGGGGTTGAAAAGGGTCAAAGAAAATGTGTTAACAAGAAATTAAGAAAGGTCAGTGATCTTTTTTTTCATCTTATAACATTTTTTTTTTTTGCATATTTTTATTCGAATCAAATTCTTATTATTTGTCATGCCTCCTTAGGTGAAAGGCAAACTTGAAGTGCAAAATGAACTCAAAACTCAAAATGATATAGTGAGAAACTTGTCACAACAAAGACAGGTATATTTTACATGCATGTTGCCTTGTTATGAGATTTTGGATGTATTGTACTCCTAAAAATAAAATGTTTGATTCATAAAAAAAATAATATATCAAACTGATTATTCATACTTGTAATATCAGGATGTACAAGGGAAGACCACTTCAAATGCACAAGGATTTTGCAATAGCTACGTGACACAAGATGGTAAAATTAGAAGATCTTGGTTTTTGGGCTGTGTAACTTAGTTGAATTGTTCTAAGGTCTTATAGGTTTTTGGTTTTGTTTTTGGCCTGGTACGACAATGTTCCAGTTGTCGATCATGGTTGAAGATCTTGAGATGTTAATTTAATGAAATACCAGTTCTAGTATATAGGACAGTATAAAGGTAATCATGTGAAAATGAGGAGTTGCTTACTTCTCTTTTGAGCTAATGTTCAAATTCAGAGCTTTGTTCATTGTGAGTTGTACAATTCTAATTGATGCAAGTTTGAAACTTTATATCGCCTTATCATTCTGGATTGTATTTCTTACTTTTGTTTCTGATAATGTGAAACATGTTTTCTTTTCTGGTATCAGGGTCAATAAGTGAATATTAGTAGAGGAGTGTGTTTTATCTATGAACAAAACAGGGTAATTTTTGTTGAATTGTTGATACAGCAAGAATTTGGAATTATATTTTGAATTGCCAATAGTTTGTTACTTTGGTTTTCTGCTTAGGTTAGGATTGCTGGAGCAGATTGCCAGATTCCACTAGTTAAATAAGCAAGCTTATAGTCTGAATGGTGATGTAATTAATCATGAATTTATGAAGAAATATTGTGAAGTAGTGTTCTCTTGTTTTGAGCTCATCTGAATGTGAAAACATCAACTAGGAAAGTGAAATTTCAGTTGTTGATTTGTAGAAGGGGACTTTGTTTTATAATGAACAGATTGTTTTAGACCCATTTGCTTCACCAAGAAGCTTCTTTATGTAACCTGATTTTTGCGTCTTCTGGTCTTTCTCTCCTATCGAGCTTTAAGTGAACCATGTATTTGAAGAATTGTCACAGAAAGTTTAGGATCTTTTGAGAGTTACTTGTGAGATCTACTCATATTAGGACTTCATTTTTGACTAACAAGAAGCTAATGGAGTTCGGGGGAATGTTTTGTTTTGGCAAAGCAAAATGTTCAGAATGAGAGTTTGATTAGAATCGTTTGACTGAAGACTTTAGTGTATCTTTTCACCAACAACTTCACTTTAAAATCTGCTGGGATTCTTCTCAAAGGCATGAATAAGAGTTTTTATCAAACTGATTATGTCTCATTATCTTGCCTACCCTCTAGCATTTACTTAGAAATTGCTCAGATACGAAAAGGGCCAATATGCCTGCATTCATTTGGAACTTATATGTGGAAAGATTTTCTTTGAAGTTTGAAAGGGTGAATTTGAATCATTTGATTGGGGTTCTTGAAGTTTTTGAATTACTTTGCGATTGTATAATTTGTATTATTGCAAAAAATTAGGTGAAAAGTCATTAGCTTGTGCAATCCTGATAAAGTTTGATCACTTTTGGAAATAGTTTCTATATGTATATTTTTTTCTATTTCACTTTTTTAAGCACGATATGGAGAAAGTGTTTTTGTCTTCTATAATACGTTTTTCACTGTAGAAATCAATTATTGATTGCAAAATGGCTGCTTCAAGCAACTAATGGCTTTGGACCTTTCTGAGGGGAAGGGACAAAAAAAATGCACTTTCCTTTCGCTACTTTAATTCTTTATTTCTTTACCCTCTCATCACAGGTGTTCAATGGATAGATACTTCAGGAAAGTGATTTGAGGTAGTAAAGCTAAAAGTTGTAGAGATTGTGGTTTATTTTTATACTTTATATCATGAAAAAGAGCTATGATTTTCAAGGAAAAAAAAAAAAGAACAAAGAAAAAAAAGCCATGGTAGAATTGAATTATGTCCTAAAACAAAGAGCCATGACCACTTAAATGTTAGCAAATCTAGATCTATGTGGAATAGAGTTAGTAAGTAATGTGATTATGTTATAGCACCTTCTAATGTATTGGCATAACATTGAATCTGAAAATCTCTATAGATTTCATTGATATGTTATATATGTACATGAGGCTTTCTGATTTTATTTCTTAAAAGAGCCCTGAAGAGAGAGATGGAATAACGTTGCATCTACTTTGGATCATGTACAAATTTTTACTTCTTCCAATTAAATGAAGATTTTTGTCTAATGCTTTCATTTGGTTGGATGAAAGTCCTTTTCCTTTTCCTCATTTTTCTCAACCCTTTAGCTGTTAAAGTTGGTTAAAGGAATGACTTTCTTTATCATTCCTTCAACCAAACAAAACTTTAGATTCTAAATTCTACTTATGTTTTCTGCAGGTACTGTTTTACTCATATTTTGCAATTTGACTTGGTGGTTACGTCTTAGATTTAGCTTGTCTTATTATGCAGATTACCTTTCTTCTTCTTTTTTTTAATCTGTAGTTTGATTTAGTGTCATTAATAAAATATACTATTCCGCATAAACTTGATGTGATTTGATTGTAATGGTTGGAATTTAGTTGTTTGATTTTGATTGATTGATAGTATGCAGTTGAAGAATTTTATTTGTAAATGGAATGTGTGTGTGTGCGTATATATATATATTTGGTATATGTAAATGGAATTGCTTTACATAATGTTTTGTTTAAATGAGCTTTTACCATTATTACATGATCTTAAAAAATAGATTTAGATTTTAGATTCTTTGCGTGCCTTCCTAAATGAAAAATAAAATCCATGTAATTTCCAAAAAAACAAAAGTCTATGGTACTACTGTCACATAAAATTGAAATATTTTATTGTAAAAAGTATTGTGTTAATTTTTTTATAATTTGTTGCAAATAATTGACCTTTTTTAAAGTAGACATTTTTTTATTTTTACTTTAACAATCATTATTCATTTATTTCATTTAATCCGTTTATATCCAAAAAAATCTCTTTTCACATTTTATTTCTTTTTAAAGATAATAAAAATAAACATATAAACTGTCTTCTAATCTTAAATTCGGAGAAAAATGAAAAATAATTATTTAGAATAAAGAGAGTAGCAATTATAATTAATTATTTATGTACTTGTTGATTTTTTTTTTTTTGACCAGGTAGATGGTTAGGAAGTTAGTAGAGTTAGTTTGTTAGCAACTGAAATTTTTTTAGAAAAGTGAAACTTCCACCCCTCGTTTGAGGCGCGCAACCATTAGATCGCAAGTTGGTGGAGTTCACAGCGGTGACAGAGCTCGAAACCCTGACCTCCGCCTCACCCAAGCCCTAAAGTTTGGGGGCCAACCAATTGGACCACAGGCCCGGTTGACATGTACTTGTTGATTTTACAACGCTATGGGAGGCATTTGGTATATTAATTTGAAATTAAGAGTTAGTAATTTAATTTAATTTAATAATTAATAATTATTATTAATAATTTAAATATTTTTGTTTGTTGGATTAGACAAAATTTTTAACTATTACTTTCAAATTGTTATATCAATAGTAAGATTTCCTAGTTATGGTGAGATTTTATTAAAGGTAAGCATCGCACCTCTAGAACATAAATAAACAATGATATATATACAATACTAG